GCCGCCCCCGAGCTGTAGCGACTCCACCCTGTCGCTGCTGTCCCCGCTCGGCCGCCCCGGCTTCCCGTTCCGCGACGGCGACGGCGAGGACGGCGACCGCGGCGGCGGAGAGGCGCCGGGCCGCGGCAGGTAAACGGAGGCCGCCCTGCGTGCCCTCGGGGAAGGCGCCTGCCTTCCCTCGGCCGGAATCGGGACTCTCGGAGGTGGCCCCGCCAAGGCGAGCAGAACTGCCGGCCTCGCGGTGACCGGTGCTGGACGCTCGGTGCTCGCGAGCTGCGCGCGCACTCTGGCCTCTGAGCGATTGTCCCTGCGCCTCCCTGCCCCTGCGCTTTGCCGCTGGGATGCGGAGAGGAGGGCGCGAGGCCGGGTCCCAGCCCGGCCTTGGTTTGGGGCTGCCAGCCGCCCTCGCAGCGGCGGGGAGCAGGGCAAGAGCTGCGTGGGGCTCGATGCCTTCTTCCAGCCCCAGGCTCCCGGGCCGCTGTTCCTGGCGCCGCCTGGGCTGTGGCCGCTCAGGTGGGTGAGTTCAAGGTGTCATGGGGATCAGAGGCGCCTGCTCGGAGGACGCACAGACTTTCCACTGTGCTGGCTGCAATGCGACGGACCTCAGAGCTGGCCTCCGACAGGATAATGCCAGGTATTTTTCCTGAAGCCTTTCAGCCTTGCTCTTTAGTTCTAGGTGACCTGGAACTCAGGATGTAGCCCAGGCTGGTCTCACACTCAGAGTGGTCCTCCTGCCTCGGCCTCCAGTGTAGCGGAATGACAAGTGTGGGCCACCACACCTGGCTTTGTTTTCTTTCTTTTCTAAAGATTGCTATTATTAGGAAGGTTGTACATTAATAAATGTCTTGGCTGCTTATCAGGTCCTTTTTGCTTGTGGCCAGAAATGCAGTGTGTATGGCATCAGTGTCTGAGCACACATGAGGGCAAAGGTTTAATACTTAAAGTATCACGTAGTTAAAAACGGTGCTTCGACTGACTTCTCCTTTGAACAGCTGTTCTGTGTTCTTGGCCCTTAGTCAAACCATACTGCCTCGCTCTAAGGAACTTGCGGCCTGGGGCACACGGACAAGTGAGCAGAAGGCCCTGGTCCTTAGTCAGATGTCTGGCAGAGTTGCACGGGCAATAAGGATAATGTCAGGTCGAATCTTGAGCCTGTAATCCCGGCACTTGGGAGGCTGAGGCAGGAGGATCAGTGTGAGTCAAGGACAGCCTGCACGTCATGAGAGCGAATGGCGTACTGAGAGCCGCGCAGGGCCGGAGCGGGAGCGGGGCCTGGGCGTGGGTGCTGCTGACGAGTCCCTGCGAGCACATGGTTGCTGTGCTGCCTGTGAGGAGCCAGTGCCGTCCAGCTCAGTGGGGAAGAAGCGAGAGCCTCCCGGGCCCTCGGACTCCCTGCCCCAAGTGCCTTGCCCCGGCCGTCCGGAGCTCGTGGAGCTTCGGGGAGGAGTTCCTGAGCTTCGGCTGACTGCAGAGAGCAGAAGCAGGACTGCCCACCCCCGGAGGCCAGTGTCAACCCTGGTGACCCAGGGACGGGCGTGCCTGGGCCAGGCTCAGGCTTGGGAGCCCCGAAGATGAGATGGAGTGATGGGAGGGTGCATTTGAGGGATGCATCTGCCAGCGGAGCGAGGCGAGGCTTGAGGGAGGGGCTGCATGCCCAGAGGGGAGGAGGCAGCACTCGGGCTGTGGGCAGCGAGGGGGCACGGAAGGCGAGGTCAGAGATCGGGCCAGGCCCTGGGGTGGCCATGGGGCCCTCTGCTGTGGTCGGCGCCCAGGAGGGAGGTGGCCGTCTCCCGGCATGTATAGGGAGGTGCACGCCAGAAACAGAGACTGAGTCTGCTAGCTGAGGACATCGCCTGTGGAGTGGTCGGAAAGAAGTCTGGAGCTCAAGATCGGGGTCTGGCGGGAAGGTACTGACCTGGGCCACTTGACCTGGAGTGAGAGGCGAGGCTTTGGGGACAGATGCGGAGGGCCTTCTAGCCAGGCATGGTGGTGCATGCCTGGATCCTAGTATTTTAGGAGGCTGAGGCAGGAAGATCTCAAGGTCAAATTCAGCCTGTCACAAAATACAAAAGGGTTGGGGATATGGCTCAGTATGAAGGCCCTGAATTCATCTCTAATACAGGAAAGAGCAAGACAGAAAAAATGATACGTCAGCATGGTCTCTTTCTCACTAGAGTACAAATCCAGGAAGTCATGAGTGAGTGCATAAATAACAGCAATAGAAAAAAAACAACTAAACTGAATTTTTAAGGTAGAAAAACTTGTGCAAAGCAGCCGATGAGGCAGTCACTGGCCAGAAGGGGCGCACTGTATGATAACCAGTGTCTGGTGCTCTGTCGGGCGGACAGCCTCTTTTCATGGTGCTGATAAGTAAAGCTTTTGCTTTTTTAATTAATGTATTTATTTTGGAGCCAGGGTCTCGCCATGTAGTCCAGGCCGCCCTTGAACTTGCTGTGTAGTCTAGGCTGTCCTTAAATTTATGGTGATCCTCCTGCTTCAGCCTCCTGAGTGCTGGGATTGCTAGTGTGCCTCTCTGCACTCAGCCAAGTAATGCGGTTTTTGAAGGCGAACGCAGGCAAGTGCACGTGCTATTTCGTGCTCGGGCCTCCCTTTGGTGATCCGTCACGTCCGTGCTGAGTTCCTGTCAATTTGTAAAGCTCGGTGACAACATGCCATGCCTCCTCTCTTGCAGTGCTGCCGAGGAGCCTGGGGCTGAGCAGGCAGAGCGGGCGGAGGAGCGCTCGGCCAGTGGGAGCCTGACCCCGTGGGAGCTGTGGTTCGTGGGCAAAGAGAAGGTGGAGCGCGAGCGGCTGCAGCAGCGGGCACTGGAGGTGAGGCCGGGCTGCTCCGTCCCATGTGCACCTGCCCCGAGAGGCTGGGCGCGGGCATCGGTGTCTTGTCCCCAGGCATTGGTGTCTTGTTCCCAGGGACCGTGTGCACACGTGTGCGGGTTTGCCACATGAATTCTGAGAAATCTAATGAGGGAGATGCTGTGTGTTCATGGGAGGAGCATTTGGAACTCCCAGCTGGGCGTCCCAAGGGGGACGACTCCATTCTCATCCCGGAGCAGCCACTGTGGCGGGCGGCCCTCCACACCCCTGCCCTGTGAATCCCCAGTAGCAGACCCGCACCCCGGCAGCGGCCTCACCCTACTCCAGGGCCTCCTGGAGGGGCGCAGTCCCGGGCGGAGGTGGTGGTGTCCCACGCGCCTTGCGGTCGGCCCACGGAACATGGCGCGTAGTTGCTGTGTTGTTCAGGACGACAACAAGGAGGGTCTCCGGAACCCAGCGCGTTTTGCTGGATATGTCCACGTGGACTGTGCGTGAGTGGGCTGGACTTGCAGAGGGGGACATGGACCCAGGCGTGGACACATGCACACGGTTAGCAGCTCAGGAAAACGTGAGAGGATGGGACAGAGGTGGGCATGTGCCATCTGTCCCCACGGAGCTGCGGGTGGCAGCTGCCAGTCCTCCTGGCATTGCCGTGTGCACAACCGCTGCTGATCAGTCACCTTCCTCACTCTCGAGATGGTTTGGGCAGCCCCTCCGTGGAGCCTTGTGCGGTGTGCTCCTGTGATTTGCGATTCAGAACTGAGCAACAGCTGGATTTGCATAATTGGGTATCCCTGAGTGCAGTATCCAAGCTCACTTTAGGAATTGTTTGTTTTTGTTTGTTTTGTTTTTGAGACAGGGTCTCTCCGAGTCAGGCTGGCCTCGAACTCGCGGTGACCCTCCTGCCTCAGCCTCACTTGTGCTGGGGTGACAGGCGTGCACCCGTCTCGTCCTCTCACTGTGTTCTCACTTCCTGGAGGTCGGTGTGGGCTTAGAAGGGTTTCCTCCCCGAAGAGGGCATTAGCATCGCGCTGTCACTTCCGTCTCGCTTGCGTGCCCGCCTCCTCCTAAGCCCTCTCGGGGCAGTGCGGAGCCTGAGATGGTGGTGGGGATCGGTGCTTGTTTCTGCCCTCTGCTTTCTCCTCTCCCTCTGCTTCCCTTCCTGGAGCTCCTGTCTTCATAGCCTGCGCAGGGCGGAGAGTGGGGCGACAGCAGCTCGGGGCGCCCTCCTGCACAGCTGCAGTCTCCTGTCGGGCTGCGAATTCAGGACAGGGTCCCAGGCGGCAAGATCCAAGCTGTCCCGCAGGGGCAGCCCCCGCCTGCCGTGTGTGGATGGGTCTGTCTCCCCCTGAGAAGCAGGACCAGCCTGAGTGTTAGGAGGTGTTGGGAGGTTGTCCTTGCCATGCCACCCAGGCCGACGGGCAGGCGGACACCAGGAGGGGGGCGGGGGCGGGGCTGGCGGCAAGGTGACGGCGGGAAACAGGCCACACGCAGCCCTCTCTGGCTCAGGCTGCGACTGCTGCGAGTGACAGCGGCCCTGCACCCTGGGTCTCGCGTGGCCACGCTGTCACATTCTTCCTCCCGAGGAAAGGCCCGGGCCTGTCTCTTCCAGCCCAGAGATGCAGTGCGCTAATCCGGGCTGGGAACGTGGTTTTGTCTTACGCCGCAGCAGCTATAAAGTTGCAAAGGAAACTCCTCTCTAGGAAAACAGAGCAGCTCCTTCCCGTCTCTTCCTTGGCGGAACTCCGAGTCAGGGTTTTCGCTGAGGGGTTATTTGGTTCCGTCCCTTGCTTCATGGGCAGCCCGCAGCCTTTTGTGACTGTGAAGAGCAGTTGCAGTTCTCTTGAGTGGCCGCCGAAAGCACACCGTGGTGCCAGCGTTTCTGCGTGGGAAAGCTGATTGCAGCCGGGCAATGTTGCCGAAGTTCCGTCTGAGAAACTGGTGTCTCGCTGCCAAGCAGTTGTTTGCACTTCGAAAAATGACTTACGCCGTCACCGCGGCCCTCTCTCCTCGAGGGCTGCGGGCTCCTGCAGCGAGTGACTGTCTGGTGCACGGCCCGTCGGGGCCACATTGCCGGTTCTTTCCGGTACACTCTGCCCTTTTAAAGAGGCTGCAGACGTCCGTTAAGTGTTGCCCTGTGTTTAATTTAACCCCGCAGGAGTCAACTCAGGAGACGGAGAGGAGAAGAGAGACGGAAGCGCGGGAGAGGAGGAGAGCCGCGGCCGAGGAGAAGCACAGGGAGTGGGTTCAGAGGAAGGACGAGCAGGTGAGGCCTGCGCAGCTCCCCTCGGGCTCCGGCGTTGCTCTCACCGCCCTCCTGGGCGTTGGTCGGGCTCCGTCGCACGCCGTGCCCTCCGCTCTGTTCCGTTCTTTCTGTGGCACCCACAGCGCCTGGCGGTGCGCCCGAGTGCCCCGCGGCCCCCGCGCTCTCCTGCACGCGCGGGGCTGGCCTGGCGTCCTCCAGCCTCCGTCTCTGCCGTTGCCCCTCCCCTCCCTTCGCGGCCCGAAACCGAGGCCAGGGCTGTCCCTCCTGGGGTGCCTGCTGGCCACACGGGAGACGCCCGGAGATGCCTGTCGGATGACGCGCCTTCTCCGCGTCTGCAAGGCTGGCGAGCGTGCTGATGCACGCGGTGTCATTCTCCCAGCGAGGTGGCGCACGCTGCCCCTCTGTGCCCCCTCCCCCTCTGCGCCCCACGGAGCCGCCTGCGGGCCCTGAGCGCACACGGGGTGACCGGGCCCGCCCCGTCCTCCTGGCATGTTCGCTTCCCTGGAAAATTTCAGGAGGAAAACGTGCATTTGTGTATGAAAATAAGCACAGACTGGTAACGGCCTCGAATGCACGTTTTATCTTCATTTTGTGTGGTGCTGAGAATCCAGCCAGGGCCGTGCCCGGGCTGAGCAAGTGCTCTGCCAGAGGCTGTGCCAGCCCTGAACTTCCTGGTCACCCACAGGTTTGGCAGCAGTCCTAACCTCCGCCTGCGCTGCCTGGCCCAGGACACTAGTGCTTGTGAGACACTTTGACACACTTTCTCTCACATACACTCACACTCTGTTACCGGGGTTGATCCCAGAGCCTTCACACTGTGTCCCCAGCTCGTGTTTTTATTTTTTATGAGACATGGTCTCATTAAGTTGCCCAGACAGGGTCCAACTCAAAGTCCTCCTGCCTCAGCCTCCCGCACAGCCGGGACTACAGGCGCACACCGCCTCTCCTGGCCTCCATTTTCCAGCACTGTTTGGTTACTGCAGAGTGGGCGCCCCTCCCAGGCCAGCCCTGCCCTGCCCAGCCGCCGCCCGCTTTGCCTTTGCCGTGGGGGAGGGGTGCACAGGCCCTCATCTGGGCTGGCTGCCTTGTGAGCTCACAGGTTTGGACCGGCGCTGCGTGTTACCACGGTCTGATTCCGAAGGCTCTAAACAAGCATTGAAACTGGAGGGCAGTTTCAGGTTTTTAGTTGTGATTTGCTGTCCTTCCCCACTGTTCAATCGCGTTGCACTAACGAGGATCAAAGGAATGATTTCAGGGAGCTGAGGATGCGCCGCCTGCCCCCCCGCCCCCTTGTAGGAGGGAAACTGGGTAGGGGTGTGTGAGTGTGTGTGTGTGTGTGATTAGAACCATGAAAGCCTTTGCTCAGTACTTCAGATGTCAGCCCATGGTGTCATTTCATAGTTCTCTTCCTCCCACAATATAACAAGAACAAATTCTTTGTGAATAAATGCCGACATTAAAATCAGCTTGTATGACCACTCCCAAAGTTGAGGTGACAACTTTTTTTGTGATACTGGTGCTTTAACACTGAGCTATATCCAGCCCTTGTTAAAAGTTTTTTATTTCTGTGACAAGGTCTTGCCAAGTCTTTAAGCTTCCCAGGCTGGGCTCAAATTTGCAGTCCTCCTGCCTCAGCCTCCCAGAACACTGGGCTCACAGGCGTGTGCTGCCATGCCTGGCCCAGGCGCTGCACGTTGGAGCCGATGGTTATAGAACGGGGTGGTGGTGCTGGGGCAGCGTGGCAAGCTGGCGGCCCTTGTTTTCCCGTCAGGCCCGGCTGCCGTTTGTCCTGGAGGGGAAGGTCCGTCTGGGGGCCCTCGATGAAGGCTGGGCTCCTTAGTGCCAGTGATCTGATCCAGATCCTGAGAAGTCAGTGGTGTCTTCGAGGGAAGTGGCGCTCCCTGGCGTACACCAGCAGGACGCCCATGGGCGGGGAAGGGCTCCGAAGCAACCACGCGGCTGGCCTCTTGCGCATGGCCAGGGCGCACTGATGGCCGAGGTTTTCTCCAAGGCGATCAGATTTCTCACGCGGGCCACTCCGCCCTGGCTTCCTGTCTGGCTTCTGCGCGTGAGGTCCATGCCCCGCTGTCCGAGCATCTGGCCGCGTGTGGGGCCGCCGCCTCCAGGGTCCCGTCAGAAGCCCTGGGAGAGAGTCCACGCCCGCGTCGCAGGGCGAGCTCCTCAGCCCCAGGTTGTTCAGCTCTTAAAATAAACGCCTTGTCTCATCCGCTACCCTTATGCTGTGTCACAGACTAATTTGTTTGCTAGGGTTTTTATAAACAGCATTAATACACATTTTGCAGAAAGCCCTTGCTGTCAGTGTTTCGATGTGATTTACAGTCATTTTAAATTCTCATAACACGACCGAGATCCCTGCGTGAAGAAGGCATCCAGAGACGGCGCGGCGGGGATCGACTGAGCGCATCATGTGGGGGCGCGGCCGCGGCCAGGCAGGGATGCCCGGGTCAGAGCCGACCCTCTCCCCGGGTGTCGGGCAGAGGACCCCTGCCAGGCCCAGCCTGAGACAGGACGGTGCCCTGAGACTCGGTGTCCCTGCTCCGCCGGGCCGGGGGCAGTCTCCTGGCCGAGTCCCGCCGAGGCCGCCTGTGCAAACCCAAGGCGCCCGCCGCCCCGCTGTGTCGCCAGCCAGCACCCATGTCCCTCCGCTGAGGGTCCCCGTGTCTGTGGCGTTCGGCCACCCAGCTTGAGGGACACCGCGGCCTTCTGAGCTGCAGATCCGCCCTGCAGGACGGATCAGTTCTGCGGCGGGCTCCTGGGTTCCAGCCCGGCCGGCCGGGCCTGTGTCGTCGGCCCCTTTCCCTGCGGAGCAGTCGTCCATGAGTCACACGCGTGTCCCTGCTGCGAGGCGAGCTGGCTGGTTGATTTCGGTCTGGGTATTACGGAGAAGCCAGCCTTTCCCTGGGCTCTGTGGCCCGATTGAGTCTTCACCCCGGGAGCCCGCCACGCCTCCACGGCTCGGTGCCACTGTGCGTCCCGGCCTGTGTGTGACCGCAGCGCCTGCCCGCGGTGAGCCGAGCCGCACTGCTCACTCGAGTGTGACTGTCCCGAAGTGCGCGGTGCTGTGCTGCGCGCCACTGCCCCGCTCGCCTGAGGCCCGCGCGTCTTCGCAGCGAGCTCATCGCCTTCTTTCAGGGTCACTGAGATGGGGGCCAGGCCCAGACAGCCCCAGCAGGATGACCTTCCCCACGTTCCACAGGAAGGCACGATGCAGGGGACCCTGTCCTCCCCCTGAGCAGCCTTCCCGGCCCTCACCTGGCTTCCTGTGTACACCCGCGTCACTGGTGTCTCGTACCAGGATGCCGGTCCTGTTAGACTTGGGGTCCGTCCTTCACTGAAACGGAATCTATCTTGAAAAGCACCACTTCCGGGTGGGGGTGGGGACTCAGGCCAGCCGGCTTCCTGGGCATTTCCACATCTCTTCCGGTGTTTTTGGGTTTTGTTTTGATTGGTTGAAGTTTTTCTTCCCTCCCCTCCCCTCCCCTCTGCTGCCCTGCCCTCCCCCTCTTTCTGTTTCTTGAGACAGTTTGCTATGTAGTCAAGCTGGTCTTGAACTCCCTATAAAGCGCAGTCTGGCCTTGAACCTGTGGTGATCCTCCTGCCCTAGCCTCCCGAGTGCTGGCATTACAGACCTTTGCTACCACACTGAGCTTTGTTTAACAAGTGTTGGCTGTTTTTTAAAAGGGCTGCATAGCCCAGGGGCGGGGTATATCCTTAGCACTCACGCGTCCTGTGTGGCATGTGTGACGTCCTAGGTTCAATCCCCAGCCCCTCTCAAAAGATGCGAGGATTGTTACTTGGTTTTTGGGATGGAGTCTCGCTGTGTTGCCCAGGCTGGCCTCAAGCTTCTGCTCAGTAGCTGGAACTGCAGGCACACCCCTGTGTGCAGCTCCGCCTTAGTTTCGTGTGTGTCTTGTCGTTTTTTCTTTCCTGTTTGCTGTGCTGGGGTTGCCAGGGCCTTGTACCTGCCGGACAAGGGCTCCAGTAAGTGTCGTGCGGTCAGGCCGCGCATCCCTTGTCAGATGCACATGGCAAATATTTCGCCACATTTTGTGATTTTTCTTCATGGTATTTTTAAAGAGCAGAAGTTTTGTATTTTGATGATCTGTGTTTCAATTCCTTTGTTTTATAATAGGTGGTTTTTCTGTTTTTATTTAAAAAACATTTGCCCACTCTAAGAATGTAAACATTCTCCATGCTTTCTTTGCAAAGTTTGATAACTTCAGCTTCCTCTGTGTGTATTTTGAGCTCATTTTCATGTATGGATTGAATTAAGGGTCAAGGCATTTGTTTGCACACAGATACCCAATTATCCCAACAGTATATTGAAAAGAGAACCCTTCGTTTAAAATCCGAAGGCCGCAAACGTGGCTGTATTTCTGGATTCTGTTATCTTCTTTGGTTTGTACCCTGTGTAGTACTAACTTGGTACTGAAGTTTTATAATGCTGTCATTTTGTAATCCTGCAATTCTCAGCCAGTGTAAATCCGCCAGCTTTCGTCTCCCTGTTTACACTCCCATTCCTGCGTCTCTGCATGCGCTGCGGGGAGCAGGCTTGTCAGCGTCGCCCGAGGCCTGCCTGCTGCCGTTTCAGCTGTGTGAAATACCTTCGTAGATACTTCCGGAGAAAATTGCCATTGTAGTGGCATCGGATGTAAATATCCTTAAACATGGTGTTCGCTGCCATCTGTGTGTGTCTTGATGTCCGCAGCGTCCTAGTTTCCCGCGTGTGACGGCACCGCACGCCTTCATTCCGTGTGTTCCCGGGTGGTTCACGGTGTGGGCCGTGAGAACGGTCACCGCACCTTGTTACCTTGTCGTTTCCGTGCCCGGTTTCATTCAGTGTGAGAAGTGGTTTCTTAAAATGGAAGTCATGAAAATTATTCAGCAGTTACTGGGCGGCGTCTCTGCCTTACGCGCGTGATAGGATCTGCTCAGAGCTGTTAGAGGCTGCAGGCTTTGGGGGAGGTTTCACTCTTGAGTTGTTTCTGTGAGTGGGTAATTACTCCGGCACTGCTGCTTCTTCAGTTAATTTTGGGAAGGGTGTGTTTTAGGGAGTTTTGGCATTTCACTTCAGTTGTTTACATTTTTTAGCCTAAAACTGTTTTTTTAATATTATCTGCTCTCATTTTATGTCTGCATGATCCATAGCTCTCGGGGACGCGTGGTGTGACCTTAGGCAGCTTATCCTGTCTCCGCCTGTCTTTGCATGGTGGTACCCACCTGTAGCCCTGACAGTTGGGAGGCTGGGACAGGAGGTTTGCTGTGACTTCTAGACCAGCCCAGATGCTCGGTGAGGCCCTGTCTCAGAAAACACAAAATAAACACTAACAGAGCGTCCTCTTGCTGTGGTCCTGCGAGCTGATCACCGTCCACCTGTGTCGCGTGTGGGAGCAGTGGAGGGCGTGCTCAGTCTGGGCACGGCTGCTGTCCTTGCACGCGCGCACAGCTGAGCCGCTGGGCTTCAGTGCCGTTTGTGCAGGGGCTGTCTGTCCCGTGAATGGCTGCCCAGTGGGCGACGCTGCAGGCCTGAGTGAGGACCCTTGCATCTCCCCGCTGGGTGCCGGGTGAGGCCCTCGGGAAAGACGTCTGTTCCTGGCTTGAGTGCCTTGGCCCTGGGAGGGCAGCACGTGCACACGCGGCTACGTCGTTCCTTTGTGTGCGGCGTCGGTCTGTCTTTGCTTTGAGTGTGTGCCCAGCCCTGGGGACTCTTCTGAGGCCCCGTGGGCTGCATTGTAGCCTTCACTGAGCAGAACGCGCTCAGCCCGCACCCACGGAGAGCAGCTGCAGCCACCGGGTACCCCCAAAGGCGGAAAAGAGAATGTATGGACTGCGCGTCAGGTCCGCCGTGGGTGGTGGGGCGCGGCGTGCGGGTGTGGGGGCCTGGCCCGGGGTCCTCGAGGCAGGGAGGCCGCTTTGCTGTGGACAGTGTGTGGCCGGTGGGTCAGCCGCATCCCCGTAAAACTCGATGACGAACACAGGTGGCGGCGCCAGCTGGGCCCATGGGCTTTGTGGGCCCCTCAGGGCTTCGTCTATGGAGAGCGAGCCGCAGGCTGCCCGTGTGACCCTGGGCTCCCTGTGCTCAGAGCCACCTGCTGGCCACAGGCACACGCACAGTTTGTATCTTGGAGAGAGGGCACACGGCCACTTAAAAGTACTAAGATCTGGGGCCGTCTCAGATTGTAACTTTTGTTCCCGGATTTATGCAGCAAGCCTTTATTGAGCACCTGCTGTTTACTCAGCACGTCCCAGGCTGGAGCGAGATCTCCATCACCGCCCCACACAGGCCGCAGGATGGGTGACTGCACGGACATTACATGTTTTTATAAAGCGTGGCGCCGACTACCACGCTTCTGTGCATTTTAAGAGCTGATAGAGGTTTAGAAAACATGTATTCAGCAGTCTTTACTTACATGAGGATAATTACAGGTATTTGAACTAAAATATCCCATTTTCGTTTAAGAAAAGGAAAGAGAGAGAACAGAAATTCAGTAAAGAAATGGAGGAAAAGGCAGCAAAGGAGCTGGAGAAAGAACATCTGCAGGAGAAAGCAAAGGAAAGATACCAGGAGTGGCTAAAGAAGAAGAACGCTGAAGAGTGCGAGAAGAAGAAGAAAGAGAAGGTACAGTGCTGTCCCGCGGCCGATGGAACAGCGGCCTGGGTGTGAGGTGTGAGCGGGGCGTGACCGGCAGGCGGGCGCTGTCTCGGTGCAGAGTGGCCGAAGCTGTGATGCTGCGCTTAGCCTTCGAAGGAGTAAGTCGGGCTCCGCAGTTGTGCTCGTTGCTTCTGCCTTCGGTTGCGTTCCTGTGTAGCGCAGTGTGATCTCTCACTTGATCTCAGCGTAAAGTGCCCGCCTTTTAGAACAGCAGGGCCTTTTCTCATTGGATTTGGTGTCACTGCGTTCAGAGGTGGACATCTTAGTGTCACACCCCTGACCACGTTTGCTGTTGCTCTCAAATTGCAGAACTTTGACGCGGGGTGACACAGCGAGCTGAGGAGTGGGAGCAGGGTGGTGTCGGGGGGACCGGGGTGCAGCGCTCAGCTGCAGAACATCCCTGGAAGCTCTTGGGCCTTGTCGTTTTAAGGAAAAGGAGAAACAACGGCAAGCTGAATTACAGGAGAAAAAGGAAATCGCCGCCAGGAAGTTTAAGGAATGGCTGGAAAACGCGAAAAACAAGCCTCGCCCTGCTGTGAAGAGCTACGGCTATGCCAGCGGGCGGCTCACAGGTTGGTCTCGGGGCCGCGGGTTCCGGTCGCTGCAGGCAGCAGGGGCAGATGTCGCACATTCTGTTCGGCAGAAATAGAAACGTGGAGGGACTGTTTTTCTTCCGAATGACTTTTCTGGAGGATTAAGACATACTGTTATGTGGCTAAAGCGGCACTGCACATTTATTGTCATTTTCTATAAGTTACATGTGCACATTTCTTAAAGATAATCCAGGCGAAACAGCGAACTTGCACTTAAAGCCGTGATTTCTGACCTTAGGGCAGGAGCCGTCACACCCCTGGCTGTGTGACCGTGGCCCCAGCAGAGGTGCCACCTGCTGGGGACGCCAGGGGTGCCGGGGACAGCGGGGACGGCCCCGCAGCCGGCCCCGCAGCAGCGCCCGGGCCCTTTGGCTTTGCTGCTCCTTTGAGAAAGGGCCGCAGAGAGCCGACCCTGGCCTAGCAAGTAGGAGTCCTGTGTGTACGGACGGCCAGGCGGCGACAGGCAGCTGCCGCCGTGATGGAGCACTGCCCTGATCTCCCTTTGCTTCCGCCAGGCGCTTCATCCTGCACGGGGCGAGTTCGTCCGCAGGTGGTGGTCTTCTCTGGGGTCTTCATGATCTCTGCGCACCTCTTTCTTTACACATGATGACACACAGAAAGGGATGTGCCGTACTGGCGGGGTTTGGAGAAGGTCCCCAGGGCTTTGGTCCTCGCTGGCTGTTGGCTGTCCCATGCCAGCGCCTGGCACCCTGTAAATGCAGCAGCAGCGGGGGCGGGGGGTGGGCGGTTTGCCGCACAGAGACTGCGCAGCCTCACGCTTGCAGGGTTCCAAACAGCCTCGGTCCATGCTCGCCAGGGGTGCAAAACAAAGTCTTCAGTGCGCTTTCCTATCTGCCCACAGGCCCAGCGCACAATCAGCCAGTTTCCTGACTGAGTTTAGAAAACAAAAGAAAGGTTTGCTCAGTTTCAGGAAAGCTTTTGTAGGCATTGTTATTCCTACCGGTTTTAATATTGTTATTTGCATTCTTAAAATGACCGTATATCTTTTAATATCCTCTACAGCATTTAGTGTTTTTAAAAAGTATCATTTCTGTGAAAATATTCAGGATTTCAGGATTTAAATGAGTCAGGTTTGGTTAATCAGTGATATTTTGATATTGAACCTTTTTCCTAGGAATTGTAAAACAAGCAGTTTCTTTGACTGAAGTATTTTTCTTGTTTTGTTGTGAATTTTTGATGGCTTTAGGATTTTACAGTGGAAATTCCTACCCAGAGCCAGCCTTTTGCAACCCCATCCCCTGGAAACCAATCCACGTACCCACTCCGCAGGAAGCCAAGGGTCTTTCTGGGCAGAGGAGCAAGAGGCCCACTGGGACCCGGCCGCCTCCGGCGTCGTCCTCGTCGCGGGCGGCTCGTGGGGCCAGAAGCGGGCTGTGGCTGGGGACTGTGTGCGGAGCCCAGAGGTAGCAGTATGACGCCCATGTCCTCCGAGCCACTGGATCTTAAATCAGGAAGCATTCTGTCCCCGGCCTGCGTGATTGCTGGCGGCTGCCTTTCCTCGCTGGCGTGTGGCACCCTGGGATGATCTGACCGAGGAGTTCCTGCACTTGGGTGTCATCGACCTTTAGGGCTGACCCTGCGCATCGCTGTGCAGGATACGGGACCGAATACCTCACAGTTGTGCTTATGTTTAGCTTGTGTTAAGTCTGCACGGTCCTATCAATAAAACAGTTTTTTCTGTCTTCTTTCATGGCGTGTTATTTATGCTTATGAACATAATTAGATTAAGATTAACTTGTTCAGACAAGCATTTCTGAACTACGTGCTCGTCTACGTGGTTGGAAACCCAGAGTAATCAAAACCATTCTCGGTGGATGTTTTCGGTGTATTTTCCATGTGGGTTCTCGTAGTTTAGAGATAATGAGCGGAATGCCTGTCTGCAGCGCAGACAGGGCCGGGCCTTCGGAGCCTGCACTGCTCTGCGGCTCGAGTCAGGGCTGGTGAGGTGCAGTCCTGATGCGCTGGCGGCACCTTGCCAGAACCCTTGGGGATTCATTTATCTGTGAGCTTTGAAGTCAGGGTCACTGGTACAACCTTCTTAGTATTAAAAGTGTTAAACCTTAGGTTTCATTTTCTGGAAGTTGAGTCAGATCTGGCTGATAAACATATTTAAAAATAATAACTAAAATGAGTCCCAATACAGCACCCTGCTTCTTTGTTAAATTTTAAGTCTATATCCATTTTGGAAAAGTCTTTTTTAGGTATTGATCAACAAATGGAAAAGTTGCTCATTGAAAAGCATTCCCACTGGGCGTGCTGGTGTACGCCTATAATCCCAGCAGCCCAGAGGCTGAGGCAGGAGAAACGCTGTGAGTTCGAGGCCAGCCTGGGCTACATGGCGAGACTGTGTCTCAAAAAAATACGTAAGTAGATGAAGCGATTTCCATGTAGAAAATACACCCCGTGTTTTGCTGGGCGAGTTGTCTGCTGAGTTCGGGCGATGGGAAGGGGCGGTGTTAGGCTCAAGAAAGGAAAAGAAGCAGCGTCGCCTCCTGGAGCCAAAGTCGTCTTGAGCCCGTGAAAGCAGGCTCCCAGCAGAGGGCCGGGCGAGGCCAGGGGAGGCTGCTGGCTCCAACACGTGTGTGTGTGTGTGTGCGCGTGCGCGCGCGCGTGCGTGCACCTGGCCAGCTCCTCTGGGCCGGGTGGCCCCAGCTGCAGCACATTTACCCGGAGAGAACACGCGGAGCTACCAGAACCACCAGAACCACCGCCACAAACACGCTACACAAGTGCCGAGGATTTGTGTGTTAGGCACTGTTGCCACACAGAACGACTGTCTCCTTCCCAGAGCGTTGGACCTGGGACGGACAGGCTCCGGGTGCGGAGTCACACACGCTCCCTGCCAGCCTTAGCTCGGGGGCTGAGCTTTACCCTAAGGGGCCTCCGCAGGTGGCGAGGTCAGCTTGGTACTGAGAGGACGTCAGCCTGTCACCCCAGCACTCTGGGCCAGGTGCGTGGCAGGAAATGGAGGCTTTGCTGCGGGGCCCAGGGGACAGGAGGGGCTTCCAGGGAAGCCGCTCCCGGGTGGGAGGGAGACCCGATCCGGAGTCTGCACTGCGAATCTTTGACTCCCGCAGAAGGGACACAGACAGCTGGGGACAGCTCAGGGTGCAGCGAGGATCTGGCTGCCCTTCCTGCTCCTGGAGCCAGCGGTGTGGCTTCACGATTACGCTCATCGTGCACCCCAGGAACCCCGGGTCACCTGGGTCACGCTTGAGGACCAGGCGCCTTCCAGTCGGGGGAGGGTTTTACATGACGAGAGAAAAACAAGCGAGCAACGGTGCCCTGCGGGCTGTGTTCCCCTCGCTCTCTGCTGCAGGTGCAGTCGCTGGTGACCACGATCATTGTCATCACCGCATGGTCTCAGTGCCTGATGTGTGCATCCCTCTTAGGGTTCTGCCCATCCTGACCAGACGTTTTAGAAATTTAGAAAGACTGTCAGGAGTCAGCTTCCTTTCTGGTTTGTCTTTTCTGTCAGGAGCGCACAGAGGATCTACTGTCATTCCCCGTCGAGCGCGGCTCCGGGGTGGATCGCGGTGTCCACCTCCTCACTGCTCCTCCCCAGACCCTGTGCTTCCTTCTAGACAAGGCTGCTGCTTTGTCAAAGCCTGAATTTGGGCTTTTGTTATTCTTTAATTTTTATTAACCCTAACCCTAACCCTTTTTTTGTGTGTTTTTGAGATAGGATTTCACTGTGCAGTTCAGGCTGGCCTTGAATTCACTTTGTAGCCCAGGCTGGCCTCAAACTCATGGAGCTCCTCCTGCCTCAGCCTCCCTAGTGCTGGGCTCACAGGCATGCGCCACCTAGCCCTTCACTTGACTATTTTTATAGAATGTCTTGTTCAGTCCCCTGAACTTTAGCATGTCGTTCAAAATTCTTTTTCTTAGTCTGCAGATGCCGTGCATAATACCGCATTCCCTGTGGGGCCGGGTGCGTGCGCGTCACACCTTCATTCCTCCCCTCATCCCCACCCATCTCCTGGTCCCCTCTGTTACACAGATCTCTCCCTGCTTCCTGTCTTTCATTTTGCTTTTTGTGTCTAAGAAATTCTTAGCTCCGTCAGAGAAGACAGAGTCCCCTTTGAGGGAAGAGGGCCTCCCTGGGGCGTAACAGACTTCCTGTCATAAAGTATGAGCTGTGAGCGCAGGGATAGCGAGTTAGGATGCGGACGAGACCCCGGCCAAAACCCGGGGTCGCGCTGTCCAGCGCCTGCTTGTGCTCTTTTCCCTGGTGCCCTCCGGTCCGTTCATTGCCTTTCCCATGGGTGTGCGTGCGGCCGTGAGCGCCGTGTGGCTTCCAGTGGGGCCAGTTGAAGGCTTTGAAGCTGCTGATCCGCCGAATTAGCCGTCGTCTTTCATGGCATTCCAGAACAAACAGGCCCTCCAAACCCTGCTGCTGTTATTTCAGGTGGTTCGAGTCTGTCATTGTTACGCAAAGATGTTACGGCTCCTCCACAAGAGGTTCAAAGACAAATTTAGAAATAAAATGTTCAACAGATGAAAGGGGCCTTTAATGTACCGATCGTGCCACCGGATGAAAGGTGGTGGTCATCGCTCTGCGGAGTAGCCAATCCTTTAAAAGTTTACATAGAAAGTCTCGAGACTATTATCTGTTCTCCCCAACGAGAAAGTGTAGCACAGAGAAGCTAAGTGCTAGTGACTAGCGGAAACGGGTTGGAGATAGCCAGCGAAGCTCCACACGCGGCTGGCGGTGACAGAAGGAGGTGTTTATGAATCTCGGAGCAACGGTGATTCTTTGTAATTCTTCCTTTTGCAAAAAATAATTTAAAAAATTCTTCCTTTTGCTCATGATGCCTTTCCTAATAAATTTCGAAGAATAGGGTGCAAAGAAACCCAAGTTCATAGCGTCTGTTTAGTGTGATCTAAGCCCACGTGCCGTCAGAAAGGACTAAGCTCAGTTTTAGCAAAGCTGATTTCAGTGCCATTGCAACAGTAAAGCAGCTGTGGGTCGAGTGCACACAGCTCAGCAGGGCTGCACGGAGAGGCGCGGAAGCCACGCTGGTGCTGTAGCTGCCCCGCGTCAGGGGTAAGCCGGTTTGATCGTCACCTGAAGAATGTGGTGAGAATCTTACATGTTGGGACTGTTTTCATCGTGCAAGTTTGGTACATTTGCTACCTTTACGGTGAATGGCCATGTGAGTTGACACACAGCGGTACAGAAGTAGGCTTTAAAAATCACTAAGCACAAAGAGGCCAAAGAGTGCTTGGGAACAGTGGGTGGGAGCCAAGATTTGCCGCCTTCTCAGAGGGAGCTGTGGGCTTTAACGAGGAAAGGAGGCAGGCAGAGGTGGAGCCTCCTTACCTCCTCTGCGTGGAGGAGCTGCCCTCGTCTCCGCCCAGAGCTAACCCGGAGGAGCAAATGCAGACCCGAGCCTGGATTCCCAGCCCGCTGCCCGTCCTCGGAGAGACGCGGAGCAGCTGTGCTGTGTCCCCCGAGATGCGTGCGGCCTCCAGGTTCAGCCTTGTGGAGACGCCCTGCGAGTCCTCGGGGTCAGTGCAGAGTTCGGCTTCTCCTCCAGGTGCAAGAGGGAGCCACACAGCCGCACGGCCCCAGCTCAGCAGCCACGCGCGCGCCCCCACGGCTGTGGCCGCCACCGTCTGCCACGCGGCCCGCGGGTGCTGAGCCCACCAGGGAGGGAGTGCCCTGCTCTTCACATTTGGGAAGTGGGTTTCCCGGCAGCAGTGTGTCCTAAGGCTCCCTCAGCTGTCACTCAGCTCTTCAGTTTTGAGAGAAAACATTCTTTCTTGAGAGCCCTTTGAATCATTATGTTTTACTTATTAATTGCCTCAAGATATATTTTCCCTTGTTCAGCACATGGTTTCGGGAGGAAATGCAGGGGCTGGCGAATGGGGGAGGTTGAGGAGCGCTGGCCGGGGGAGCTAACCCTGACCCAGAATTCAGAACCACAAAGAGCTGAGCAGTGATGCCGCCCCTGTTCCTGGCAGTTACGTTTGCAGGAGAGGGACGCATCGAAGACAGGGGCGGGTGGTGAGGGCCAGGACGTGTGCCTAGAGCATGGCTTTAGTCCATCGGTGATGACCTTGGCGGAGTTTGAAGGACACAAGACGAGCTTGGATTTTAGAAAACTCACTTCAACAGCTACTGTGGCCGGGTGTGGTGGCGTACACCTATAATCCCAGCACTTGGGAGGCTGAGACAGGAGGATCGCTGTGAGTCCAAGGCCAGCTGGAGCTACAAAGTGAGTTCAAGGGAGAAGTGCTGGTCTTGACCCGTCTCCTCCAGAATGACAGAGGTGCAGACGCCCAGCTGACTGCCCACCGGGGAAGGAAGTCCAGGGAGAGCCTCGGGCACTGCGTCTGCAGGGGTGATCACAGACCACAGAATAATTCAAGTGAGCAAAATGGGCCAGGCTAAAGGAAAATACACATAGGATGGTTTTATTTGTGTACATTTCTTTCTTTTCCTTCGTCCCTCTCTCTCTGTCTCTCTCTTTCTTGGTACTAGGAATCCAACGCAGGACCTCGTGCTTGCCAGGCACGCACTGTGCTGCTGAGCTGTACCCCCGGCCTTCTTTGTGTACATTTCTAGAAAATGCGAAGTGGCTGTGCTGACAAGATGATGTGATAGCTGGGGACAGCAGGGTGCGGCTGGGACATTCCGAGGGAGAGTTATGAAGTGCTCAGGGGGGCTCAGGGAAACAATCTG